TAGTGCCACTGTACAAACATGCATCTCTGCAGGTCTTTGAGAGCCTGAAATGGAAGGAGTCTGAGACAGAGTGTAGTGAAGAGATGGAGATGGGGGAAAATTCACCCTCCCCTTTGCAGGACTTCAGCTATGGCAGGACAGGCTCAAGTCACACAGGAAAAATAACCAATTTCAGCTAATCCCAGCTTCATAACACAGTCAATAAAAGCCAGGTTAACCCAGTCTCCAACATCTTTATTATTTCATCTGGCTAGTCAAATGCAGATGAATTACTTGCTAGGACATGGTGGGAATGGATTGGTCTATTTCCTGTCTGTTTCATTTCTGGTGAGAATAACCACTGATAAAAACAAGGAAAAGTATGAAGGCTACAAGATTTCATCAGTGTCTTTTTTAAATTATATTCTATTATCGAAAGGCTCCACTTAACTCAACACAGATAGCCTTGGTCTTCAGAAAGGGGGTGGGTGGGATTGTTCACCATGTAAGCTGGCAGATATAGTGCTGAAATCTGAGATTCACATAACCTAGCTTTATTAATAGGAATAAATCTTAATCAAGACACAGAGTTATTAGGAAAGACATCAGAATGCCTTTATAAGCAGCAGGCCAGGGGGAGATGAAAATGAATGAACGAATTATAAATTGTAAAATTATATAATTTATAAATGTATCTTTTAACGAAAGTTTAATAATTTAATAATCAAATATTTAAATGTGTATGTACAAAGGGTGTGTGCTGAGGGGTACCAAGGGTTTAATAATAATATATGGAGATATACCTATCTCATAGAACTGGAAGGTACCAGGGACCTTGAAAGGTCATTGAATCCCCTGCCTTCACTAGCAGGACCAATTTTTTGCCCTGATCCCTAAATGGTCTCCTCAAGGATTGAGCTCACAACCCTGGCTTTAGCAGGCCAATGCTCAAACCACTGAGCTATCCCTCCCCCCAGGAACACACAAAAACATGAACACTTTAGCAAGACTGCAATCTAGAAAAAGCAACAAAGGCCAGAAAAGGCTACTGCAAACTGGGATCAAACAACAGCTGCAAAGTTATTTTAATAATCCCAAAGGAACAAAACAGTTGTGTTGCAGAGAAATTGCTTACAGAGAGAACAACAAGAGTCATATTTAGAAAAATAAACTTGGATGGAGGAGGCTGGATCTATGTATTCTTGTCTTCACTACCGTGCTAAACCGGCGCCGCTGTGATTGATGCAGAGGTGTCGAGTTAGTGCGTCAGGTGAAGATGTACTACGTCAACGGGAGCACGCTCTCCTGTCGACACCGCTTCACCGTGTCACCATGTCGACACCGCATTAAGTCGATGTAAGTTACATCGCTCAGAGGGCTGGTTTTTTCACATCCCTGAGCAACGTCACTTACATCGACTTAAACAGTAGTGTAGACAAGGCCTTATTAAGGTACTTATACAATAGTACCTGAGCACCGCACAATCTATATGTATTTATCTTTACAGCAGGAGGAAACTGCTATTATCCCAGTTTTACAGATGGGGAACTGATGCACAGAGACAATAAGTGACTTGCCCAAGTTTAGTTCCTTAACCACTGGACCATCCTGCTTCTGACTATTTCAGGAGAAGAGATGGGGCCAAAGAGCCTTCTGCTTCTAGTTCACTGTTCTGAATTCTACTTAATGGTGAGACATGGTTGATCAGAAGCTTACGTGAATTGAGGCAGTGGTCTCAGCCCATGGCTCCTGGACAGATGTCATAATGAAAGAAGGCACCTTTGTCAATGGATTCAGGAAGGCAGGGACTGAATGAGTCACAGAAACGTGGTCTGTTCTGGTCAGGGATGGGAGAAGAAATTTGCCCTGTGCTGCCCATGCTATTCCTGTTCTGAGAAAGGCTTTGATGCTGCCAGTCAAGCACTTTTCACCTTGGTGCCTTTCAGACCCAAACACTTCAAACTCTTGCCCTGCTCCTGCTACCCGTTCCCTGTGGGGCAACACTTACACCTGGCTGGTGCCACATTGAAGTCAAAGGGGCTCTGCACAGCCACAGTGGGAGGTTCGACTGCATGGCTTGGAGCCTGCAATACTATACCAATACTAATGCAGTGCAGCCACCTCTAGAACAGAGAGCAACAGCCAATGAGCACACACCAGTACGGGAGGAAGGGGAAATTTTGGCCAGGGACATTGGGTCAAATCCCTGCTCTGACCAAAACTTCCAAGGGAGAGTTTACATCAGAGTGATAGGCACTGTGTACATTCAATAACAATAACAGTGTCTACACGGTGCAGCCAGGCACAGTGAGTGGCTAGCATGGAACTCAATTTTTCAAGCACAAAAGCCTGAAGCGAGTCCATGGACAGAAAACCTGTGTGAGCAGCTTTGAGTTGGGCTTGTGGTACTCTTCTCCCTTGTCTGGTAGAGTAATGTCCACTAAAGCTCTGCAAAACAATGAACTTTCACTTCATCCATTGTCATCAGGAGGATTATGTTTTGTGATTTTGTTCACAAGCCTTTGCAGTTTGGGGGAAGGGTAAGTGTTGCAGGTTTGGGCAGAGAAGGCAGCCTGGGGCTGAAATTCCAGAAACAATTGGTCAGATATTTGCCCTTGGCAAAAACTTGCCAGGTTTGCACTTGAAAATCTTTTTGGGGAGGGAAAATGGGAGGTGGGGTGGGGTTGGGTGTTTGCCCTTTGTGTGGAAAACAAAACAAAATAAAATAGTGATGTTTGTGTTTTGTTGCATGTTTCAGGAATCCCAGCCTGATGCACAAAGCAGCAGCTGCTGCTGAAAGACTGGTGGAGGGGGGATTTTACAACTGTTGCAGCAATTGCAAGGCGCCTTATTTGCGCCGTGGCTTTTTAAACTGATTTTCAAACATGTAAAAGCCCCTGGACACAGATGGGTCTGTTTCATGATCACGCATGTGGGCAGTCTAATTCTCCTCTCATGTTGGTTTCCCAGCGCCATTTGCTTCAATGGAGTTATTCCTGCATTACACTGGTGTGAAAAGAGATGGAGACTGAGGTCCTTGTCTACATTACCATTTACTTTGGTCTAACTTACGTTGCTCAGGCGTGCGAATAAGCCACCCTCCTAAGCGACGTACGTTACACTGACCTAAGTGCCAGGAGAGCTTCTCTGCCGATATAGCTACTGCCACTCACAGAGGTGGTTTTATTATGCTGAGGGGAGAGAGCTCTCTTGTCAGCATAGAGTGTCTTCAGCAGACTCACTACAGTGGTGCAGCTGTAGTGCTTCTAGCGTAGACTAGCCCTGAGTTTATTAGCAAGAGCTCAGCAGACCTGACATGGGTGATGGCCTCGAGAACCTGAAAAGCCAGGGACCTGAATGCTTTACAAAGGAAGAACCTTTGTGGGGACAAGCTGCTGTTATCTAAAGAGAAGGAGACTGTTGTCAGTTGCTAGAAGAGGATCTGAATTAAATAGCTCTTATTCCTCCCAAGAGGAGGTTTCCATGGTCTAATTTTCTATAAAATACAGCCGGCCAGGTTTGGAATGAGATCTCTGCCCTACTCATATGCCTCTTCCAGCAACTGTTGAGATTCTTTACAAACAGCTGGGACTTTCTGGGTGGTTGCTTCTTCTCTACAATTCTGAGACTAAAGGAGCATCAAAAGACAGAGCCTAGAGCCTGAGTTATCTAGACACATACAATCCTAAATGTGGGGAAGCCCCAGCAGGGAGACAGCTCTGGGAATGAAATTGGAATTGTGCTTTTCTTCCCCCCACCCACATTTTCAGAGTTCATTTTAAATTACATTCAGCATTGAAAGTCTCCATGAGACTCTCCAGATGGGAGAGGACTTGATTCTCCAGGGTGCTGATCAATCTGGACCCAGTCCAGGGAAGCACTGAAGCACATGCTTATCTGTAAGCAGGTGAGTAGTCCCATAAAGTTAACCATGTGTTTAAGTGCTTTGCTGAGTCAGCACCAGAAAACAAAGCCTCTTGCAGGATTGAGTCCCAACACACCTGATGCATCTCCACACCTACCCCTGAACAAACAGAACTGTGACACTGCCTGGAGACCCATACATATCCATATATACATAATAACTAAGGGGTAAAACATGTCAGAGCCACACCACACCTCTTCTCCAGTGCAGAGTCAGAAGTCTGCAGCTGTGGTGCAGAACATTTGCAGCAATCACCCTGGATTGGAATGTTCATGCATAAAAGGTGCCACCTTGTTCTTTGAAATGTTCCAGTTTGTGGCATTTAGGCCCAGACCCAGTGGAACTCTGGGAAGTATCATGTCTCCTGGAGCTCCCAAGCACACACAGGGATCATGCCCACTGTGCCACCTCTAAAGGTGTGCAGCAGGCAGTTCACGGGCAGCCAGCTTTGCTGGCCAGTGAAGACAGACAGGTGTTTATGGTTTTACCTCCTTCCACTTGTTGTGGAGTCACTGATGCCCCAGGGGGTTAGCGAACAACCACAACTCCAGTGGAAGTCAGTGGGAGCTGCAGGTGCTCAGAATCTCTGAAAACCAGGCCCAAGTTATCTTGAAGTGGGCACCCCAAAAATGGGTGCATCCAAACTTAGGAGGATCTCAGGAAAATGTAGATGCCAAGGTTATTATTATGGGGATAATAATGCTTCCATCCTTCACAGGTGTACTGTGAGCATGTTGGTGAAGCGCATTCCAGATCCAAAGTGCTTTGTAAGTGAGAAGTATTTTGATGAGCTTAGAGCTGAGGGCTAGTCACAGGCCCCCTCTTGTGAAGAGCAGTCCTTACACTTTCTCAAGAGTGAGCGAGACTCAAAGGTTTTTGACCCACATGTCTTTGGAGAGTTTTAAACAGGGCAAGTGACATCACTGCCAGAGTCTAACATTCCTAAACAGCAGAGATTTGAAAATGATTTCAGGGCTGTGGAATTTAAAGCATGTTAGCAGTTAGCGGGAAAGCAGTGCTTGAGAAACTCAAGGAGAGCTACTCTGTGTGAGTGCAGCAGCTCCTCCAAGAAACCCAGGATTATTCCAGGACATACCTTTTTTTTATCTTCATGCATTATGTATTTCTCCTCAATGCTCTCGATTCTGTTGCCTGTCCACATGTCTGTCTCATTGATGTTTTTCTGAACGACAATTCTTTTTCCACCGTGTCTGCAGCTGGAGGTGGAAAAGGAAGGATGAAATTGAAAAATACACATGTATGTACATAGTCTATATAGGAAGCATTCGAACAGAGGTGGTCTCTATCTATACAGTGCCCCCGGACTTCTTGAAAGCTACTGATGATAACAGACTGATGGAGATTTCTGTCTCCTTGTGGAAATGACCGTCACTACATCTCAAACTCATTTTGGGGGCATGTTTAAATTTGGTTTAAACTTTGATCCAGCTAAATCATTTTCTGATGTGCCTTAAACCAGCCAGAGCATGTGTCTAAACTGTGAACCCTAGATTAGAATACAGTAAGAACAATGTGTTTGCAATGAACAACATTCATAGGTTAGAACATGGGTTAGTCCCATTCACAATGGCTGGTCAAACTGTGTTAGAGACCAGGTTAGTTTCAACATGGTTTTCAAACTGCATCTAAAGACCAGGGCAGAAGGAGTGTTTATAGTGAGATATTCCACAGTTAGGAGACACAAATATCAGCATTCTGCCACCAGTGAAACTCCACCAATTCTCTAAGAACTGCAAGTGATATTTCTGCAAACTGAGGCCTTCAGATTACCGGACACTCCGGAACTCGTGTGTGACAATCTATCCAAAGTATTTATACAGCCCTATTTATCACCACAACAATGATGTGGGATAGGGTATTTCTATAATCCTCATTTTATAGATGGGGAACTGAGGCACCAAGAAGCTAAGTGAACAGCCTAAGGTCATACAAGAAGTCTGTGGTGGAGCAGGGAACTAAACCAACATGTCCCCGGCTAGTGCAGCCTCCATAAGAAACTCTACTATACGCCCCATGAAACAGCTAAAGACAGAGAGTATGGGGTAATTAAATCAAATCACTAAAGTGTGATTTGCAAAACAGGAGATACACCTGCAGATCATTATAGTCATAGCTCATTAAAGATATCAGACACTTCCTGTATATTCTGAAATTCAGAACCCCACTTATTCAAACAGTGGGAAGTGAATGATGGCTTTTAATGTCCCTGCTTAGAAAAGCCAAGTAGGATAAGTAAGTGCAGAGAAAGGGACTGGAATGGGTGCATACTAAGACAACAGAGGAAAAAGAATTAGAGGTTCCATTCATAATAATAATAATGCATATTGAAAATTAATTCAATATGTTTGCATACATCCCAAAAAGGGCTAATGTCATTCTGGGGTGTATAAACAGGAGTGTTGTATATAACACATGGGAGGTAATTGTCCCTACTTGACACTGGTGAGGCCTCAGCTGGAGTGTTGTATCTAAGGCCTGGTCTACACTGGGGGGGGGGGGGGGTGTCGATTTAAGATACGCAACTTCAGGTACGGGAATACCGTAGCTGAAGTCGACATATCTTATTCCGACTTACCTCTCGTCCTCACGGTGCGGGATCGACGGCCGCGGCTCCCCCGTCGACTCCGCTACCGCCGCTCTCTCCGGTGGAGTTCCAGAGTCGACGGGGAGTGCATTCGGGGATTGATATATCGCGTCTTAACGAGACACGATATATCGATCCCTGATAAATCGATCGCTACCCGTCGATATGGCGGGTAGTCTGGACGTACCCCAATTCTGGGTGACATGCTTTAAGAAAGATGTGGACAAATTGGAAAGAGTCCAGAGGAGAGCAACAAAAAGTGATAAAGGCTTTGGAAAACCTGACCTATGAGAAAAGCTTAAAAAAACTGGGCATGTTTAGACTTGAGAAAAGCACATTAAGGGTGACCTGTTACAGACTTCAAATATGATAAGGACTGTTATAAAGAGGACAGTGAATCAATGTCTCCATGCCCACTGACGGTAGGAAAAGAAATAACGGGCTTAATCTGCAGCAAGGAAGATTTAGGTTAGATATTAGGAAAAGCTTTCTAACGGGTAGTTAAGCACTGGAATAGGCTTCCAAGGGAGGTTGTGGAAGCCTCATCTTTGCAGGTTTTTAAGAACAGGTTGGACAAACCTGTCAGGGATAGCTTAGGTTTATTTGGTTCTGCCTCAGTGCAGGGAGATGGACTAGATGACCTCTTGAGGTCTCTTCCAGTTCTACATTGCTATGATTCAATATTAGACAAATACAGAGTAGGGCGTGCTTCTTATTAGTTCTGAAGTTTCATCGCAGATGGCACTCTTCAGAGGGCTTGCTGGATCAGGGGACTGGTATCTGTGCCGGGCTAGGGATCTTTTCATTTCATGGTTGCCAGTTTAAATCCAGTTTAGGATGGAAGTGAATGGAAATTGTTACCATGTGATTGATGGCTGGGTAGTGAATTCAATTCAGATCCTAAAAGACAGGTGTCTACATCACAAAGTCAACACACATGACAGAAATCCGCCCCCTTGTTAGCAGTTTCAGCAGAGATGCCAAGGTTTGGATGACCAGGGAGTCTGAACTTCTGCCCTCAGTCTTAGAGGCCATTGCACCAGAATAGGGTTATAGAAGGTAAAACTTGTGCAAAATAAATGTGACCTGATTTTCAGAGGTGCAGCATACCCATAAACCCCATTGATTTGCTTAGGACAGGGGCTCTCAAACTTTTTTACTGGTGGACCCCTTTCACATAGCAAGCCTCTGAGTGCGACCCCCCTTATAAATTAAAAACATTTTTTTATATATTTAACACCATTATAAATGCTGGAGGCAAGCGGGGTTTGGGGTGGAGGTTGACAGCTCGCAACCCCCCATGTAATCACCTTGTGACCCCCTGAGGGGTTCTGACCCCCCCGTTTGAGAACCCCTGGCTTAGGAGTTGTGGGTGCTGCACTTGTGACAATCAGGCTCCCAATACATAAGATCTCCTCTGTAAGATGCACATTGGGGAAGAAGTGTTTTTGCCAGGAGATCACAAGACACGCTTTGGATCAATAAATCTGTACTAATATTGGTGTCTCCATCCAACACGGTCTGATATGAAGGTGCCTTGTGTGGCTTCCTACAAGTAACAATTCCCCCATAAGGCTGCATAAGGCAGGAGCTCAAAGGAAACAAGTCAAATCACAGCTAGACTTGGAGTGAACAATGACCGCGCATTGGGACTCCAGCTACAGTAGTGAGAGAGAGAAGGAGAGGAAATGAGACAACAGCAGGAAATGAGGGAGGGTGGGGTGTGTGTCATTTCCCACAGGAATCCTCCTACAGCTTCTGCTGAGGAGAGATAAGACTGCCTCAGAGGCCAGCAGAGGTAGACGCCACTCTGCAATTGTATTTAAATTGATAACATCAGGGACTGAATAGCTCGGGGAGTTGGGACTGGGGTTATGCCCAGCCTTTTGCTTCCAGGTTACTGATTCTAATTTGGACTAGGTTGGCAGTAATGCCCCAGAGTTACTCACACACAGTGCCTGCTGTTGGTGGTATGTCAGCAAACTAAAACACAGGGAAATGTTGTACTTTGAGTGTGAAGTCTCGCAATCCCATCCTAGATGCAGGGCTCGGAGGAGATTGCTGGTGAGCTAGTGTGACTTCCATCAGGATGCCTGATACATGACCCTGTAGTATTCCCTCTCTAGTCTTACCTAAGCCCTTGCTAAACACCTTCAGTGATGGTGCCTTGAATACCTCCCAGGGAAGCGTAGTGCAATACCTATCTGCTCTGACAAAGGTCTGCAAATTCCCAGCTGTTGTTTTATTCCTGGAGGGACACTGTGTCTGTTGGCCAAATGCTAAACCAATTACCAGGCTACCCTTCACGTTCTCAGGTGGGTGCACACAGGACTGCTGCTGATGCTTGAATCTTGGGACCCTGATGGCTGCTGTCCCAAGTAATCCCACAGGTAATTTCCCTTTGGTAGCGGCTGCACTAAAATGGCCTTGTCTGGGAGATTCTCCTTGCAGACTGTCCACGTCCGCTGGCCTGTCACCAGACATGTCCTTGAAAAAGAGCTGAAACTGCAGCCAGCGTTACAAACATTTTCCATTGCTGCTTTTCAAATGACAGCAGAAAAAAGGAGCTACACAGCACATTTCTCTCCTTATTCCCACATCTGCTTTTATCTTTGAGGTGGAAAACCTGACTCCAGCCTTCTCACTGCAGAAAAGGGTTAAAGTGCAACTGGAGTTGTTACGTTTGGCCCCTGTATTTCCCTTTGGTGCTCACCAGGGGAAGCACTCCCCATTCAGATCTGAGCCCAGGCGTCTCCCCGTGGACTACTTAGCTAATATCTCAACAGGAACAAAGGAAACGTCTATTTGTCTACAGAATCCTCATGAAGCATCTCGTGTTTAACTCGCTTAGTTTCTGTTTGCTGGATTCTGACCTGCCAGCTTTCTTCTGCCTCTGCAAACTCTCATGCTGTCTCCAGGTCTTTATCAAACAAATGTTCACAGCAAGATACTGTGCAGTATTGTATAATATACAGGTTGATGTGGGTGGATGATGACTCAAAGTGCACTGAAGAAGATGGCTCCTGAGATTCAGGTTAGACACATGGAACTCCTATGTGAAACTGAACCTAAATCTTTGAAACATTTGTCCATCAATGATCCCTGAAGGAATAGAAAGGGGGTCTTTTCTCTGTGATTGCTGGATTTCTACACTTAAAAAGAATACACTTTTCCTTCAAATCTGCCTTGCTGGTCACTCTCAAAAATCTGCCATTCCCTTGTCAACCAACCATATATTTTGCATCCAAGGTTTCACAGGAAAAAAACTCCAGCTAAGTCAAAGGGGCATTGTCAGGTTAAAGAGAATCTGGTCCAATTCTGTTACACTAAGATGACCTAACACTGTTCTGACAGTAAAAGAGGCCATAAAATGGGTGTAATTTACAGCCTGAGCAGTTTAAAATGGCCTTACTGTAACTGAGACCAAAACATCTATTAAACAAGCACACATCCTTAGCTCTGTTACTAATAACCCAGTAGACTACTGCAGCCGAATTCATTTTCAAAATCCAATTGATTTTTTTGCTCTTTGTGCTGTTATTTTTTGCACCTCTGTTTCTCGGCTGAAACAATGCAAATCAATTGAATTAGTTGCACTTTTGTTGCAGCACTAAGAACCTGCTGGAGATCAGACCCAATGATCATGATGATCCCTTTTGGCCCAAAAATCTATGAATCTTGTGCTTTTGGGTTGCACACTCTGCAGGGGAATGGTTATTTGTTTTTAAAGCAGCTGTTTCCATTGGAATTTAAAGACTTGTGAACTTCTCTGTTGGTCATAGGTATTTGTAGAAGTTTATTTGTACAAAACCTAAATTTGGAGTAAAATGTGAATTGTGAGTGACCTTCAAGGCAACTATCATGTCTGCCTTAATTAAAGAAAACAAGATGGAAGATTCTTGCTCCATATTGTAATATTCTTTCTCATGGAAGTGGTAAGGGGGTTATATGGCCTTCCCCTTACGGATCAGGAAACCAGTTTGGTTTCATAGTAACCATCTGCTGTTTGGTGATCTGCATAAAATGAGTTGTTTGATCTCAGAACAGTTCCTACTGGACACAGAGCCCAGCACCACAGCTGGCACTAAAGGCTTGGCCCTGCTGCCATTTGAGTGAATGACTAAACTCCCATTTGCTTTAATAGTTCAAGATCAGGCATTTGGCCAGCACTCTCAGCGGAGGGGCTAAGGATTGAATAGACCTAATAAAGTGGATCTCTCCAGGTCAGGGTTCAGAAAATGAACGGGGCTATAGCGGGGAGCCTTCACTGTGGTTGTCCATGCTGTGGACAAATGACTTCAATCTCCAAGAGCTCTCTGTTGCCCTGGACTTGCCCTTTGAAAAGTATAAAGAAAGGGCACAGGTGCTATACCCAGACATTACAGTCTTTCACGTCACAGATGCCCAAGCATATTGGCAAGAGGATTTCTCAGAAAAAGAAACAAATGATACGTAACCAGCTCACCCTGAGAAGAGAGCCCCAGGAGTGTGCACTTACCGCATGTCTTCTGCAGGGGCGCATGGCTCCCATTCCCACGTGATCTTGGGGTCCGGAGTCCCGCTCGCAGTGCACTGAAGGCTTTGTGTGCTTCCTAGGTTCACTTGTGCGACCTTGTCAAAGTCTGTCTCCTTTTCATAGATTTTGGGCCTCTCTAAAAAAAACAAAAACAAACCTCCATAAAGCGAGGTGACAAATATTGCCCATCCATAAAGCTGGAGCAGTGTCATTCGCAGGGCAGGCCTGGTTTCCGTAGGGGCGTATGTAGCTGTAACCAGTGAGGAATGGTAAAGAAACGAGCTGGGTGCATGGTGACCAATGATACCGAAAAGGCTCCCACATAAAAGGTGTACAGTCACTAGCCTGAATGTTTCACGAGGTTTTACAAAACATGTAAACTCCACCACATTAATCCCAGCCGCCTTCAAATGCCATGAATGTTAGACGTCTCCTGGATAAAGCTACACAGTGAAATTCCCATTGACTTCAATAGGTACGGGGTTAAGATGTTACAGGGTGGTTCCTTACCCTATAGGCAAAATCTGATCTCTCCTAGTTCTTATACCCTGGTGCCCAGACTTCCAGTGTCAGTGGCTTAAGAGAATCTTATCAAACAACTGTTGGTTTGGAACAGGGTTATCATTGTACGTGAACTCCCCAGAGTCTTTGTGACAAAGTCTTTTTGATTTGGACACCTTGCCTTCCTCCTTCATTACCTTGTACCATGCGCAGGATGAAGGGGAGAGGGAAGAAGAGCAGGGATTGCAAAGTGCGTGGTGCTCAGGGGGCAGAAGGCAGCGATAAAGGGTTGTGAAAAAATTATCTCCACTTGCAAAACCATTAAACAGAGCCATTTGGGTTTGCAAAAATAGAAAAATATTTCTTAGTTTCTCTTTGAATTTTTGTAAAGAAAAAATGGATTCTTTCGTAGTCAGAAAATTGTCATTTTGCTACTGTGTTCCCTCAGAATATGATAAATTCCCATTTGGAGCCAAGTTGAGAACAAATCCTGATTTTGAAGTGTTGGTGTAGTGTTGAGACTCCTGGAATGCTCAGGAACATCTCTCAATCCACATGCAGAGACATGCAGGGGCTCAACAATTTAAGCAGCAGTAAGAGCAAAAAATGGATCATTCCAATATGCGAAACATTTTCACCAGAATCTTGGAAACAAGACTTTGGGTCATACTTAGTGAGGTGTGAACACTAAAATGTTTGCATAAGCATCCAAAAATGTGGCAGCTTATTTGAACTTTAATAAAGACTCTTGCATCTGCAAAACTGAGATCCTCTTTTGCAAACTTGACCCACGTGAATAATCTATAGTCAAGTGAGCTGCCCCATTGAAATCAATGGAACACAGGTTCTTATACTGTGCTCGTCACTGTACTATGTGAGGAATAAACAAGACATTGTCACATGAAATCAACAGGACTGCTTTAATGACTAAGTATTATTTGTGTGTGTAAAGGGTACAAAATCAGAACTTTAGGCTGGAAATCTCATAAGATCAGGCTCAGTGTGACACTTCCAATACCTATGGTTGCCAATGGGGAAGGGATACTTTGTATCTTCTATTTCTGGCTCCCGCAGAAACATGCCAAATGAAAAATGGTGGTATAACCCCCCTTTTCCTAACCTCAGAAACTGACCTTTTCCTGACCTCAGAAAGGTTTGGGCGTGAAAACGTGGCCTCTTTCTTTATGCAGACTGCTCTGCCCATCCTTAGTCATATCTCTTTGTCCGCTTCTCATAACAGGAAATCATAAAGATTTATTGGTCTGGGTCCCTCTTTGGAACACCTCTGAGTAGCTGACTGTGGCTGCTTTAAGCTGAGAGCTTTTGACAAGTTGGGAAGCGTACAGTAGATTAGATTTCTGTTTTTTTGGGTTGACTTCTTTTTTCTCCTACCAAGGAGGCCCCAGATATGCAAATATGAGCTATTGCCTAACTCATCAGTCTTGGACCCCTGCCCTCTGTTTTTGTCTCCCAGCCCTCTTCTCTGACTAGGGACTGACCAGCTTTGCTTTTCAGCTCTGATCCCATGTCTCTGTGGGATCCTCATTTTCCATTTCTCATGGCTGCCAGGTCAGACTAGGAAAGATCTTCTGACCCCATCCCTGCCTGAAAATCTATCAGCTTCCCCCTTAACAAGTTTTGAGGAAGGGTTGTTGACTGTAGAGGGCTCAGCAACATCCTAGCTCCCATGCCATAATGAGACATTAGTTGGAATAAATAACCTTAATTAGTGTTTCACTTTAAAAACGATTGACGTTTTGGCGTTAAGATATCTATTGCATACGTTGCAGTTTGTTCCTTTTCTCCTCTTAAGTGGCCCTAATACCGTAGCACACACCACACCATAAATCCACTTTCCACCCCTTCTTTCTCCCAGTAGAAAGATGAAGTCGGGATTATCTTGTGGTTAAGGCACAGGACAGGGAGTCAGCAGGCCTTGGTCTTACTCCTGACTGTGCCACCAACCCACTGTGTGATGCTGGACAAGCTACTTCAGTTCTCCGTGCCTCAGTTTCCCCATCTGTAAAATGGGGGGAATAAAACCTACTATTATAAAGATTGTCTTGTTAATGTTAGTAACCTGCTTTGAGATTCTTGGATGTAGGGTGTTATTCCTAAGGGAAGACTGTTACTGATTTGTGTTCTGCAGAGAGAGGCTACTTTTAATTGGTGTCTCTTTTCCCACCACTGAATCATTCCCAATCATAAACACCATCAAAAACCCCTGGTGGACAAGAGTCCATTTTCTATGCTCTCAGATCATTTTTTTGTTCGTACTTAAATCTTTCATTCTGCTCATCTGCAAAGAACTTGTACATGTGTTTTTTACCAAAGAAAGAGCGTTAAGGTTAATATGGAAGGGTGCAAAAATATTGTGTTTTCTTGGGTGTGAGCTCTGAGTTTTGCACACAGACTATATGTATATGAAAGAGAGAGAGACTGCGTGTACATGCATGTGAGAGGGACAGAGAGAAAGAGTGTGTATGCGTGTGTAGGGGGTTGGGTCATACCCTTGCATATTAACAGAATTGTCTGTACTCTTGGTGAAATGATGAACATATTGGATGTCATTTAAATGATCTTTCCTAACAAGAAATGGCAATTTTTGTACTTGATCTAATTAAAATAATGATTTACCGGAGCATCAAATGAATTCCTAGTCCCTCAATTACTTTACTGCACGGTGCTATTAAATATTACTTGAAACCTAAAATGAGTTGAAATGATTCATCAAATGCCATAATTATTTATGAGACTTAAGCAATTATTTACTTAAAATTAAAGGGGTTTGCTGAAAAAACCTCTTGGCTCCCCCCCCCCCAGTGCCACAGAACCCAATTATAGTGGAGATAGTGATTAATTATGGGAATGGCAATTTAAAAATGAAAACAAGTTTTTAAAAAAGCCTGTTTTTTTGTTTTGTTTTTCACAGTGAGCTGAACATTCTGTCTTCAAATGAGAGGTTGAGGTTTGTGGTTCTAGCAGGAGATTGGGAGTCAGAACTTCTGGCTTCTAGTCCTTAGCTCCACTACTAGGTGACGTTGGACTAATCACGTCACCTCTCTGAGCCAGAGGTATCCATGCCTGAAGATGTGTCTGACTCCCATTGAAATCGGGGGAATCAAACACTTTTGAATATTGCTAGACTGCCCGGTGGGCCGCAGTGGTGCTTGGAATTTCCACAGCATTATGTGCTGCAAGCCTGACCTCAGCCCCAGCTCCAGCATGCTCCTGACACCAAGGGGGGTTCCTCAGAGGACTGTGTGTGCTGGAGGAATTCTGCTCCGGCTGGATCTGGAGCTTTTGGAGCATCTTTATGTTGCTCCAGTCCTTTTATCTGGTGTAAAGGGGCCAGAATGGGAGTGTGAATCTTACCCACTCTGTTCATGGACCTAATATAATGCCCATTGAAATCAACAGGAGCTTTTCCATTCACTTTAAAGGTCAGATCCTCTTGGCAGAAATTCCCCCCATTGCTAAAAATCTCCATCAGTGGCAGCAATCCTGGGAGGCCTAGTGTTGATAGGGCTTCTGCAGCCACTGGCATTTGGCATCTAGTCCTGCTCGGAACAGGGTTAGATAAATCAGCATTAAAAACATTGGTGGCTGCAGGAGCCTTAACTGCCCTACGACTCCTAATGTTAGCAATGGTGGGGATTTTTTTTTACCAACCCTCCTCGTGTAGACACAGCCAATGTGTCTCTCTGATCACTCCTGCCCCCCAAACACACTTCCAAAATGGGAGCTTCTTGTACCTTTGTTCATTTGTATGTGTGAAGCATGGTGCGGGAAGGGAATCCATTTTTAACAACTGCCAGAATCCAAATATATATTCTTTAAATTACACATCTCTAATACAGATTTAATAAGACAGGTCTGTGGGTGGTTTTTTTTTTAAAAAAAACATTAAACAAAACCTGGTGTGAATTTAGAGGATATGAAAGTGATGAACCAGCAACACTGAAGAGCTCATCAGGTCTGCAAGCTTCCTCTGCGTGGAGCTCGGCAATGCACCTCAGCCTAGATCTGCAATAGCCCTCCGCTGTTGTGGATCTGAATCCCGTCCATTCATCCCACAGCTGTGCCAAAAGAACCTTGTTCCTGACCCACTACAGCCTCTGCTATGCCAGTTCTGGGCTCTCCCAAACAGTTCAAGCAATGCACCTCCCTCCTGACCCGCAGCAGCCTCTGCTGTACCAGTCCTGGGCACCCTCAAACAACTCTGCCAATGCACCTCAGTCTTGATGTGCAGTAGTCGCTCCTACACAGGTCCTGAACCCTTGGTGTGTGTGGGAGGGAATATCTCTAAGTACACCTCATTCCTGACCTGCAGCACCTCCTGCTGTCCTACACCTTGACCCTACAGCTCCACAGAGATCTGTCACTGCACCTCAGTCCTCTCCATCTGCTCTGTTGGCTGCCCTTCCTCCTGAGCTGAGTTTTCTCAATTTAATCAGAAGTCAAACCTTAAACATTTCCTGTTTTGTGGCCACATTTCAAATGCACAATGTTCAAGTAGATTGAAAAGTCATTGAGATGGGTTTTCCTCTTCTCTAGTTTAAACTGTATTTCTAGCTCCTCTTTGCTGAGGGTGTAATTGGCGGTGTGGGAGCTGACCTGAATAACTAAAGACTT